TGACAACGTGCTCCAGATACAACTCTGCTAGAACTTTCCTGGAATAAGTCGCACGAAAGGGAATGAAGTGCGCGGACTTCGTTAACCTATCCACAACGACCCATATGGCATCATGTCGATGTTCAGTCCTTGGCAATCCCATCAGAAAATTCATCATAATGTGTTCTCACTTCTATCCAGGAACAAGAAGAGGCTGCAATTCTCCAGCAGGTTTCCAATGTTCAGCCTTGACTCGAAGACAAGTCGCACATTCTGACACGTATTGGCGAACATCCTTCTTCATACCCCTCCACCAATACTGCCTTTTGAGGTCTTGATACATCTTGGTACTCCCAGGGTGAATAGCGAACCTCGATTTGTGAGCCTCGTGAAGGATTATCTTCTTTATCTCATCCACTTGAGGAACGACAAGGCGATTCCTGAAGTATAGCGTTCCATCTTCCCGAATATTCCATTCGTCCAGTTTTTCTCCATTCTGAACTCGAGTCCAAACTCCTTGAAGATGCGAATCCTGCCATTGGTTCTGCTTGACTTGATGTATTAGAATTGGCATTGAAACCAAGTTGTACACCATAGCTTGGTTAGAATCCTCATAATACTGAAGATCATAGTCGCCTACAATTGCACTCCGTTTCCAATCTTCTAATGCCAAAGAAGCTAGAATTCCTGGAGTCTTTCTGCTGAAAGCGTCTGCTACTACATTGGCTTTTCCAGGATGACATTGCAAGGTGAAGTCATAATCCTCCATGTATTCCATCCACCTTCTCTGTCTCAGATTTAAGTCCTTTTGAGTGAACAAATATTTCAAACTCTTATGATCAGAAAAGATATGAAATTTTACTCCATAGGGGTAGCATCTCCATATCTTGAGAGCAAAAATCACAGCTGCTAACTCTAGATCATGCGTGGGGTAGTTCTGTTCATGTGGCTTCAGTTGACGAGATGCATAGGCCACAACATGTCCATTTTACATCAGAACACACCCAAGTCCTCCTCTTGATGCATCGGAATACACCTCGTACGGCTCATCGCTATTAGGAATCGTCAGAATCGGCGCACTGGTTAGCCTAGTCCTCAGTTCTTGGAATGCATGTTCACA